ATTTCTGCCCTTCTTGAGCAGAAAATTCTTATAATCTACTTTTTTGACTATTTGTATAAATACTTTGGCTCTTGTCCTGAACCACCATGAACATATCTGTCCTTTCTGATTTCTCATTTTGAAGCTGCTCTCTGGTTAGGTTAATTTTGCCAAGTAATAAATTTAGAGCCACAGGTCTTGAGTGAGAGAAGTTTTAAATTTCCTTTTCCTGGACTCAGATGCAGAGCTAGGACTTAGAAAAGACTCCTTGGTGCTCAGAACACTATAGTTGTTGTGGTATCTGCAAGGCATCCCTGCAGCTCAGTAGAATCATAGAATGATCTGGGTTGGAAGGGATCTTAAAGATCATCTAATTCCAACCTCCTTGTTGTTGGCAGAGACATCTTTCACTAAACCAGGTTGATCAGAGCTGCATCCAATCTGGTCTTGAATACTTTCAGCAATGGCACAAGTGGATGTAATCACACTAGAGTTTCATTGGTAGGCACGAAAATCAATTATTGAAGCAGTAATTTTTCCCCTGCCCTTTTCATCCCAGGTTTCCTGCTAAAATAAAAATCCTCACCAGGAGTATTGCCATACATCTTCTGCATGTATTTTTCATCTTTGGTGATTTGAGAGAACGTGTTGCTGAAACATCACAACCAAATCTTCTTTACTGTATTGGTTCAAACCAAAGGTTACCATGAAGGTACCCACACCACCATCACCCACTATCCCTTCCTGCCCACTGTCATGTTAGCTCATGGAGGTACCTGCTTCTCCCAGACAACAAAAAAGTCTTCAAAAGATGACCAAACAGACTTTTATTTTGATGTCAGGTTTCTCCTCACCTCTCAGCTAATTGAGACTACTGCTTTAAAGGTGAGACTGTCAATTCCAAATCTTAGTATTAGTTTTCTAGTTGCAGAAAGCCCACACAGGTGTAGGCAATAGTATATTCTTGTATGCTTTACAAAAGCATGAGTTTCTGTCTAGGGGCCTGGCAGGACCAGGCATTGTTAATTTAATTCTCATTTTTAAAGGAACAGCTTTGTTTCAGTTTATAACTTTGTTCTTGTGCATGTTTAATGAACACTAGCTATCTGAAACTAAAAACCACTCCTGCACAATGAAACACAAACCACCAGAAAATGTTATTGACTTTCAATAAGAGCATCATAACGCTCCAAATTACTGTCACTGTCTAGTATTCATAGATGACCTCCAAACCACCACCAATCTTGCCAAGGTAAGCATCAGTAAAGCTATCCAAGGCCAGTGACAGGAAATTTTACAAGTAATCCTGTAGTTTCTTTGATTGCATCATAGCACATCACAGTGTTATGAAATTAATAATCCACATTTTTCTATTTTTAAATTCATATTCACTTCTAAGTTGTTCAGACCACTGAAAAGCTACTCCATCCAAGTGATAGGGTGGGTACCCCCAACAATGTACACACACTAAATATTGTGTCTTACTGTAACTGGTAACCATGAGACTGTTCATGAATTTCCTCAGCTTCATTTAATTTTTCTTCTTCCCCCTCCTACTATTTCCAGGAAAATCCCTAGTCACAGCAGATTAATGAAGTTTATTTTAAGTGAATGACAAACAACTGTCTCTCCTCCAAGAGAGACAAATCCAGACTAGAACATATAGATAGACTGTTAACTGAATCACCCCCCCCCCCCCCCCCAGTGAATAATTTACCTCCCAGGAGCTGCTGTGGCAATATGTTCAGAAAGTCTGGGAGAGGGGACACTGCCAGGGCAGGAATCTGCTATTGGCAAAAGAGCAGCTGCAGGTTCTGGTTTAGTACTGTTTTCACTCCAGTCAGACAAATAAAACCAAGTGAAGACACACAGAAAAAGAGATTTTTTAATCCACATTAAAATAGTACGCAGAACAGGAAACACTGTGCATGAAAGTGTTAGTATATTGGAAAAAAAGAAAAAAAAATCCAAACCAAAAAAAAACCCCAAAACCCAAAACCCAACCAACCAACCAAGCAAAAAACCCACCAGATTCCCCCCAAAACCACCAAAAAGACTGTGGAGTTTTCAGTAAAATACAATTAGGGGGATAAAATGATGCAAAATACACTTAGGAAGTATCATGCTTTCAGTGAAGGTTGAGTGTGTCCTGCTGCTTTTAAACTCAGAAAGCCAAGTAGTATTTTACAGCTTTATATGCTTTTTGCTACAACTTTTTTGGGGTGTTAGTTTTGTGAAGGTTAAACTATATGTTTCTCAATATTTTTCATATCCTTTCTTTTATTCAGTTGCGATAGGAAAAAAACCCAAATCTAGAAAATGTTGTCTTAAAGCTCTCTACCAGAAGAAAAGCACCTATCAGACATATCACTGTAATACACAAAAATAAAAGTAAACTACAACTTAGAGAGCAATCACAGCAACAAGTTTTGAACGGACTGAATTAGCCACAGGGGCAGGTATTGCCACCGTGGGGTTTTTTTCTTATATTAGCATGCAGAATCAATTATCTTAATCAAGTAGGGACCCTTAAGTGCTGAAAATTATTGAACACTTAGGAATGACCAGGGAGCAGACCTTGTAGGTGGTAAAAGCGTGGATGGAAATTCTGGTGTAGGTGGCATCTCCAAAGTCAGGGTAGCTATGGAGTTTTTATTCAAATTAATACAGGTATCCTGGGCTCCTGCTCCAGCAGGTAGATCTGCATGTATGCTTTACATATATTTATGACATAGGGGAGAAAAAAATAAATACATGATTTATGACAGGTTGTTTCAGGACTGACCAAGAGTAGGACAAATATTTTCCAGCTACTATGGATTAACTAAACTACAAATCTGGAAAATCCAGACACATCTTCACTCAGGACAATGAATTGGTTTAAAGCCAAAACTAAATCTATACCTGGTTGCTCAAAAGGAGATGGCTAAAAGTGAATATGTAAAACAAATTTGGAAATACGGTGCTGCAGAAATAGAACTAATTAGTTACTAAAACACGTAAATAAACTTTATACAAAGGTCAGACACTGCCTTTCTGTGTTTTAAGTAACTGCAATTTACACATTTCAGTGAGGGCTTTCTAATTCTATTTCTTGTCCTTCAGGCTTTTCTCTGAAAAATCTATTTTATCCACACAAAAATCCCTAGTAGTTTACAGTTTAAAAATAAACAATAATAAAAAACCACACAGAAAATCTCTCTTGGACAATGCCTGCCTGAAAAGCTGAATATTACTAAATTGGGATATTTTTCTGTAGATTACTGATGAAAGAGAAGTTTCAATTTCATTATCATATTCATACTGCTAGGAGATTTCTAAAATTTAAGCTTATTCATTTATATCAAAAACCATTCTGAATATTTTTTCAAAGATCAGATGTATGCTGGGAAACAGACATGAGCTAGGGCATGTTATTCACATGCAAATGAAAAAGTGGCCCATTGTTTTGGAAACAGTAACAAAAAGTCCAAAATTTAACACCAGTAACTGTTGTGCATGGGGATATCGGGTGAAGAAAAGACATCTTTAAAGCAGTAAATGAAATTAATTTCACCATTCATAAAACATTTTTGGAACTAGTGATTTTTTTTTTAATTATGAATTTATAGAAAACTAATAATTTTAGTAGCCTTTCTCAAACTACTCCTATATCTTCAAAAGACAGACTTTATCAGAGGTTTCTATTCTTTGGATTATTTAGAGAGGGTTTTTCTTCTATTTCTCCCTAAAGCAATTCACCTTTCGAGGGATAAGAGCTGGTGAGACAGATAAACATAATGGTAAGTTTAATAATGACATGAAAATATTCTCGTTACCTAGAGACATCCCCAAAACATAGAAATACTTGAAGGTCAAACCATTCTGCCTTTAAGAAGAAACCTTTACAGAGAGTTTAAGTGATTACCTTTCATAGTTTTCATTGCATTGATGTTCTCTACAACTCCCATCTGTCTTTCCATTCAAAAAGAAACTATAGAAACCCAGCAAAACAATTTTATACACTACTTCACATTCCTACTTTAATATGTGGTATTCTATCAAATGATTATATTGTGGTGTAAGTGCACTCAGTAACACACTTGGGTTTAGTAACACAGTACTCACTATCAAGTTATGTGATGCAGGGGAGGACAGAAATCAAACTGATGGGCACTTCTCATCAAAACAGTCTTTAGTGAAATTATTAAAGTGAATATTTTCTCCCACTGTCCCTAAGGAGTTAACCCAAAAGGTGTGTAAGATGTGGTATCCCTTGCTCCATCATTACCAGGGCAAATCTAGTTGTACTTTATGTTGTGCATTGTTAGGCATCCACATTGGTGACTGTTAGTGTTAGATAACTTGGCTATTACCTGAAGTCTCCATTTTCTGTTTGTCTTTTCCTAAAGATAAAATGACAAATACCATAAGCTACTGCTGTACTGCATAGCAGCATAAACCCTCTGAAAAGGAAACACAGGCTTAATATGCTTCCAAAGGTCTCTACTCCTTTCAAGTTCCCAAGCTGTGCAAGAAAAAAACAATCCCCTCAAGTCTGCAGAAGCATCTGTTCACACGACTAATTCCAACAGAAGACCGTGTAGGTCAGCTGCATAAACACCAAACCAAATGCAATGGTTCTCATTGAGCAATTATGAAAGACTGGGCTTTTATATGTGCTTTACAATTCACCTTTGAGATCTGAAACATTAGCCGGTTCAATAAATGCTGCAAAAGCCAAAAGAGAGTTTTATTTAGAAGAAGAATTACTCCTGTAGCCCCCCAAATAGGTCAATAATTTTATTGATTTCTGCAAATCTCGTGTTGATTTTGACAACACAAACACATACCCCATTTTTAACATGATCAGGAACTCTAATCCTGTGATAGTTTTATACAATTCAGATTATTTCTAGTATGCAGCAGGGATTTAATTGTTTCTCTTCCTATAACCTGTGAAGGTGCAATGAAATTTCAGCTCCATGCATGAGAAGACTATCCAAGGAGTCCAAGAGACTCAAAAGAAAAACAGACAGAGCTAAGATAAAAGCAACTTTTATTAAAATACTCTTCAAGCTTCAGAACGCATAAATTAATGAATGTGTAGCTACTATAATACATTATTTTACAGGAGAACCATAGGGCTGTGAAGTTTTTATAAACACAAGAAAGCCTATAAGCTTCACTCTATAATAAATAAATACTACTGTCTTATCTTGTGTTGAAGCTCTTACAGGTACACAGCAACATTCTGCTCAATTATTCTTTTTTTTAAGTTTTCCAAAACATGAATATATTACTAGTCTAAGCAGCAGAATCCTTATATTGAGCTTTCACTTCAATTCACAACATTGGAATATATTTTTTTAATTTATTTTTTCTTTGCTTAAAAGCAGTCTGTCTTCTTGCTGTACTTTGTAAAACATTTACAACCACTCTAAAATTGACCTGCTAGTCAAATCCAAAATAATTGTCGTGGTAAGTATGACAGCTTGAAATAAGTGCATACAGTTTCTCTTCATCTTCTTCCCCCAGCCCCAAAATCAAGGTAATACAATTTCTTATTCTTTTGTTCCAAATTTTCTGCTTTCTAACAGCCTACAGTAACTGAAACTCAGCAATGCAAATGACTCCTTTCAGGCAAAAAAAAAACCAAAAAAAACTGAAACAGCCATCTCCTCCCCCATGTTGGAAGATTCAGTCACCCAAGTTGTTCTGTTTTAAATATGTATTTTTTTGTCAACTAATGATTAGCACAAAAACATTTTCATCCCATTTTTTACACGCCAGTAGGAAAGTGTTAGAAAAGTATAGAAAAGGCTAGAATTTCTCTTGCAGAAAGGCTAGTGAAATAAGTTTTCTTTTTTCTCTCTTTTTTTCTTTTTTTTTTTGCAAAGCAGATGGAAAAGAAGAAAAGAAGGAAGTGTTTGTGTTTTGCTTTTGCAACTTGGGTAAGATCACTGGACATTAAGAACACGTGCTGAGACTTCATGGTGCCAGTCACGTAATTTTGTATATTTGGGGCTAATGACGTGGCTGTGAACCTTTTCCCTGTGGAAAGAAGTGATAGAAGAAAAATAAGAAAGAAAGAAAGATTGTCTCAAGCAGTTTCACAAGTGAGCATGCAAACTCCATGCACTATTCCTATCACTTTGTTTTCCTCTCTGTCAAAAAGTTGGATCCAGTGTTAGTCAAAGTCTCATCGACTTTAAGAACGATTAGATTTAGCCGCTGATTGGTGCTCATTTTGAATAACACTTATTCCAAAGCAAGGAGACAGGTGACCCTCATTTGCAGTCCAGAACGACAGTATTTTCCAGCTATGCCTTGCAATCTGATGAACACTCGCAAATCAAAAACGCCTGGTTAGACTCAGGAAAAGGAAAACACATCAACAAGCTGACCTCATACAGACAACCAAATCAGTCCAAGCTTACAGAAAATCTCTGCACAAACTCCTGCACAAACTTTACTACTGGACTGCACCAACAGATTTAAAAAGGTTTGTCTCTGGAGAAAAAGATCTTTTTACATGCTGAAGTAAAAGGTAAAAAAGAAGCAATATTTTAAAAACACCAAGATGTCACACAAATGCACCAAACACTACAAGTTAAGAATTAAGACATGCAAAGTATTAAAGTAATAAAAATGTAAAACATCAACTCACTTAGTCTTCTTTGCAGCTTCATTTTCTGGTTCTTTCACTGAAAGAAAACAGAAAATTTTTATTTTCTAAGGCACTAAATACACTGTACCACCACACTGAGATTCTCTCCTGTACCAATACATTCACCACAGGAAATTACAACAACACTTGTTAGGACTCCTTGATTCTAAATATGCCTCAATGAACATGAGTTATGTCCAAAACTTCAAGAGTCCCTTTCATAGTAGAATTGTTGAAAAGTGTCTCTGCTGGTCTCTGCCCTTTCCCTTGGCCCTCTCTCCATGCTGGTGTCAAGAAAGGTGATTTGAGAAGGTGAAGATGAATGGAAGTTGAGAGGCATTTCTTTTGGACAAACATCCAATGGGTTTATATCAGGTGATAATCCAAGCATCTGTTTGCAGTTAGGCTATAACCCATCAAGGTTCTAGAGGTCTGCACAAGGAATAATGTAAATTCCCAGCCCTGATTTAAAGACTGGCAAATCTAATTGCAGTTGTTTTTTACAGCATTTGTAAACATGATAAATTCATCTGTATTGGATAACATGTTATTTGATGTTCAGGTCCATACTCTGCCTTTACAAGGACCAATGAAGAGAATGGAACATAGACAATGATCTGTTAATAGACTAGCACAATACAGTGCTAGAACAAAACAATCAGAAAACTGTCCAAATTCAGACTATTTATCACACATGGACAAGAATCTGTATTTGGGGACATGTTATCACTGGTTTCTAGAGACAGTGGATTTAATAAAATCTGCCCCCAGAGAAGGGGTCCAATTTCCTCAATGCCCTCTTTATTACAACATTAACTGTGAAAAGCAGCATAATGAAATAATCACAAATCTCATCCAGTGAATTATAGCTGACAGCATAACATGAAATTGAAGTTCTACAATAAAATCATATGACTGGGAATAACCTTCTCCACATCACCTGTTCCAGTCCACCAATGCATGTAATCACACTAGCATAAGGAGAGGATGGAAACATAACCTGGGGGTTAACTGAGGAACTATGGATTTGTGTTTCTGATTGGTTAAATAATTGCATTTCACATACTTTTGTATGCCTGACAAAGACTTTCTACATGCCAGAAAACACTTAATTTTTTTAAGCATAAAATTTGAACAGGAATGTTGCCATTTTGATAATACAGGGGGGAAAAGAAACAACAAATACATATCTGTCAGCATCTTTAGGAGTAGAAGTGGAAATTTTAAGATTTACCTAGAATGTATTAATTCAACTTAATCAGGAATAGTGTCCAGTAATGTATCTATCCTGAGCTATTTAGCGATCGCAGGAGTTTTACAATAATATTTTCCTTTTAATACCTCCCCTCACCCCCAGCTTTTAAACACTTATCTGTCCAAGACCATTAACTTCTATTTCATTTAAACCAAGCCACTCACTATGATCGGTGCCCGTGATTTGGGCGAGGATGCGGAAGGAGCGGGACTGGGTGGTGCCTGTCCGGGGATGCCAGTCTTCCGTGTCTTCAATCAGGCGCTTCTTGCTGGCATCGCTGTGGGTGGGGGTGTGGTAAAACTCGGTGTAGGTATCCACGATGTGCTTCCGTGGGGGGCTGCGTCAAGCAGAAGAGACAGCAGTGAGCGAAAAGTTTGAGAGACCACCTGGGTTTGGGCAGCTACAAAGACACGGGCAGAACTGTGACTTTTCACAGCGTTTAAAGGCAGCTTCTGCGTTTAAAGGCAGAAGTGCAGCAGTTCAGGCCCGCCTGAACACAGATTTAGTTCTCTGAAGCAAACACAGCTTTATAATCACTCCAAGTCGACTGAAACACGTTTCGCTGATGGAACATTTGAAACAGTAAAAGACAGTATTATTGAGACATTTACATGTTTAAACTTTTACCGTTTTGGTGGGTTTTTCCTTGGTGATGACAGAGCAAGACAGCAAGAGAAAGTTTTCCACCATAAACAGGAAAAGGAGAAAAAGAAAACATGAAATAAAGTCAGAAAGGTGAAACAGAAGTGCAGCTAATTATTTTATTGAATTAGTTTTGAGAGAAAGGGGAATTAAAATCCAATTAATAGTGATATTCTCATTCTACCACTAAAACCACAGAACTCCCATACTTAAATTAAACTCACAGGGATTTCCTTACAGGCATGAGAGGGGAGTTTGCCTCGATAAAGCAGGGTAGTCTACCTTGTTCTGATCAGGTGCCTCTTGGCTCACAAGAGGCAAAGCACAGCTGTGTGCATGTGCAAGGGTCACACAGTACACACCAAGTCTTTTACACTTGGCAAAGCCTGGATCAGAACTAGGCCATTTGAAACCATAATGAGCACAATAAGGAGATACCCTCTTTGAAGGACAATAAAGTCGGGTGATTGTTTCACCTGGCAATTTTCCCTACAGTAATCTACATGCTCTTATCTCTCCCTGCACTAGCAGACTTGCAAGAATACAGGATTTTAAAGCTTTGGTTCCAGTAAGTGATACAAATAACATGTAATGGCACTGATCAGTTTAGGAAAGGGAACAGAAGACTCAAACTATATAAGTAACTCCTAAATTCTACATTTGTTATTCCAAAGTATTCATCTTTAAGACCCTCTAAGTGTACATTTACTTTTACATAATTTACAGGAGAAAAGCTGCGCAAAACTAGCTCCTAAAACATAAAACTTCCAATAATTATTAAAAACCAAAAGTTTTTAAACCAAAAACTCAACAGAATGTTAAAAGTCCCTATTATTTTTCCTACTACTCCCTCTCTGTACTTTTAATGTCCAAACTATTTCTGGTGAAGAAAGGTGGAAAATATGAGTGAAAATTATGTTAACTGTTAACAAGTTAACTGTTAACAAGTAAGAATTAGTTCCATTCAATGGAATGCATTAGTAAATACTTACAAGAAGACTTAATACTTGAAAGAATGTGGAAGATATGATACAAAATTATATCAAGACACTGAATTTATTGAAACACAGCATTATTGAGGTACATGTATCACACATCAAAGTTCCCATCAGAGAGAGAGGTACAGAAACAAAGACAGTGGTATGTCCAGGATGGAGAACAAAAAGTACATAGAAAAATTAAGTAAAGCATCTAAAGAGTTAATAGCAAAAAATAAAATCTAAAAATTAAAACAGTAGTTAAAGGTGTGGAATACATGAAAATGTAATTATTTACATGCAGTTTACTGCATTCTAGCAACTACCTCAGTGAAATAAGTAGTCTTTCACATTTGTTGAAAGTGGTATAAAGGAAAAATCCAGCTGACTTCTCTTGTGAATCCTACTGGTCCCCTCTTTAAGGCTTAAGAGTCTACTAGTAATTACTTACTGAGGCAACAAGGTGGTGCCAGAGACAAAGGAAAATTCAATGAGACAGGCTCTCCCTTAACTCAGCCTTGAAGCAAGGGGGGAAAGGCCAATAAAACCTTAATCATTTAACATCCTGATATGCAAAAATCACAGTATATGGATGCTAGTTTTATTTTTCCTGTATGAATTCAGAATCCAGCCCTTTATTCTACCGTTTTCAAAGCAATGTTATTTTTATACTGTATTTCACCATTTACTAGTTGTATTACCAACACCAATGAACCATAAATGCACCAAGAATACGCAAACACCACACAAATGTTTTGTAGAATAAAAATAAGCTGCAAAATGTAGCACAGTGAAAAGCAAAATCACATCATGTCCGATGCAGACAAAATAATCTACTACACTAAGAAAAGCTGAAGCTGTTTTGCAAAATTTAAATATAAAACTCTGTAAGAGCTATAATTTTGCAAAACAAGAATACATGCTGGTTATTCCAACAGGAAAAATGACCATAATTCAAGTCCAGTGCTGTTGATACTAACTTTTTCGCTGCTGTTATCTGCAAGGGAAAAAAAAGTATTTGATGTGTTAATTCATTCTTTGCTTCTCAAAATACTACAGGAGTTTCCAAATCCAAGCTCTGGTAAAGCCATATATCACATAAGTCAAACTTACAATCATCAAGAGAACCTACAAGGGAAAATTTTAACCTACCTGCACTTAAAATGAGTGAAGTCTATGAACACCTTACCTGATTTAAGCAGCAGGCACATCTTCATGCAAGAGTCAGCAAGAAGGTCTTAATAAAAATGCAATTGCACACAGTCCAGTGAAGATGAATTGCTTGCTTTCTAAGCCAGGACTAAACAAGGAAAACAAAATTTCCTTTCCCATCCTGAAGTGAAGTTAAATAGTTTATATCCTGAATGTGGTTTGAGGGAAGCCAAAGGAAGGGAGGAAACTGTGAGTACAACAAGGTGCTTGTCTGAAGAACGGCATTTGCTCAGCATTGCCATCTATGAACAAGATACAAATTGCTTTTTTTGTTTGTTTGTTTTGAGAAAACGTATCATGTAAAACACAGAAGCAAAAGGGAATTTATTTCAGACTTCAGTGTTTCTGATATTTCATAGATGCCAGTGATACAATTTTAAATGGGGATATAGTTTAACATCGCTGTAGAAATTTATTTTTTTTATATAAAACAGAGTAGTGTAGCAGTAGACTAATGTAATCATCTTAGTCGCTTTTGTCTTGTTTTTGTTTCATACCTTAGGACTGCAAGACAGTTAGACAGCCCAAACACACTATTATAAGAAAGATTGCAAAGTAAAGTAGGTTTTTACAGCTCTAAAATGTTTTCAAGCTTTCCCAAACTAAATCTGCAAGGCTGACAGTGAGACAGGGATTTCTTCACCTCTCAGCTGTGATCATTCATCCTCTTTGTAGGTATTATTCATCCTCTAAGTAAGGCAGGGCACATATTAGTGCTTACCCAGTCATCCTATCTTGGTTGTCAAATGCTTACTCTATGCCTGCAGCACTTCCTTTCAGGAGACCTACTTTTGTTGCTATTGTTCCTCTTTTTTAGTACTAATTGCTGGTTTTGAATACTCCTTACACAGTTATTTGTTAAAACACTATTCCTGGAAAGATAAGAGTCAGTTTCCTAAAGTGTATTCAACAATTCTACCAGCATTGAGCAAGTCCTTGGAATCTCCTGATTTCATACTGCATTCACTTCATACTTTCACTCACTTCTATGCAGAGTGGATTCCTGCCACCAGCTGTTTAAGAAAGGGCTGGAAGTTACCATGACTACAGTGTGATATAAAATGCATATGGACTGCATTTAATGAGTCCACATATGGAATATATTCATATTAAAATATAAAGGGAATAGGTACCTAAAGAAGTTTAGAAGCTCAACTCAAACTGCAATTTATCCATTATTTTAGTTGACATGGATGTTTACCTTTATGTAGGGTTCTTATATACTTTATATGCTGAGTGAGAGGCTATCAGAGGACAGAGCCACAAGGCCTACTCTTCCAGCATCTTTCATTTGCGGGATGGCAAATAGTAACCACACCTTTTAGGTTTTTAGCCCAGGCTTTAAATCCTTAAGGCTGCAGAGAAACCTACAGCTCCTCTCCTGCTCTTTTTATGATGTAATTCAACCTGCTGGACACTGCTGCTGGGAACAGAGGCCAGCTGGCATGGGACTGCTTGTGCTCAGCCTCCTTCTCTTCCCACAGCACAGCAGCCACTGGGATCCAGTCCCTGAGGTGCTGCAGCACCCAAACCCTGCCCTGGAATTTCTGGGAGAGATGAAGGCATCCCCAGCCAAAAACCTTACTGCAGGTCTGAGTTCCTAGGACTGCTGTTGAGCCAAATTTAACTTACTAATCTATTGTTTATTAGCCTATATGCTATGCCAGGTATAGTATGAGCCTTTCATGCTTCCCTACAGTTCCTTGAATGTTCAGTCTCCAATATCCACTGTAACGTACACAATTATTTGAATATGGAAATGAATCAAATTTTAAATCTGCCCTGCTTTTTAAAGGTAAAGGTAAAATTTAAAGTTGAGGTATTTACATTATAGCACTGCAAAAAATCTGCTCAACCCTGACAACATCCTTGAATACATCTTAAAAAGTTTCTCCTGTGTTGTGCAGAGAAGTAATGAGACATCTGTCCCTTTGCCTCCCTTCTGGGACCTTTTTCCACCTTTTCTGCCAGGGCCACGATTGGTCTTTCAGAGCATCTGATTCCCAGCCATCCCCGTACCCACTGACACTTCTTGACAGACTGCTCTGCATTTTTAAGTGCCTGCTGCTTTCAGTCACTGTATTGGGCGTCAAAATACACAGTGAGACATGGACACTGAAATTAATACCAGGCTTGCTGTAAGGTCCAGAACACATTGCGTAAAGCATTTTGTGGTCCTTGTTCAATTTAGCCGTGACACTCTGCAAACCGATATATCACTCATGAGAAAAATCATCACCAAAAGTCCGGCTTGGCCCTCTGAAGCATCTCTTTTAAAATGCAAGTTCCTTCTGAGGGATTTGCTTCCGGCAGTTAAATGACTTCTCCGAGTTGTGTTTTACTCAGCCCTTAAACAAGCCCAGCTTTTTTCCTGTGAGGAGAGACCCTCACAGCAAAAAAAAAAATCCCACCTACCCATTTTGCTGTTTACTCTCCCCCTGGTTTTCTCTGAATCCTCGTCGTGGCCCCTCGGCTACATCCTGGGCGCCGTCACCGGCAGAGGCGCTCGGGGCAGCGTTTTGCGCGGCGGGCTGCCATGGGACATTAACTGCAGGTTTAGCAGCGCTCGGCACAGGCGACCGCTGCTCAGGGTTAGGCTTGGTGTGAACATGCAGTCCGGGCGCGGCAAACGGGGCTGGGGCGGCAGCCGTCAGCGACGGAGCCGACGCCTGGGCCGGGGTGAATGCGGAGGACGGTGATGGGATGGAGGTGACTTTGGAGGAGGTTACAGCTCCAAACGGCCTTGGCGTCTTATTGTAAGCCACGCTCGCCGTGGCAGTGACTTTGGGTGCAACAGCAGAGGCAATGGGCACAGGCTTAACTACTTCAGTAGGTTCTCCCTATGTGAGATGAAAAAACAAAAAAAGAAACACACAAAACCACGCCAAACGCATGCACATTCCTCAGCGGGGATTTTCACTGTTCTCAGAGGAGATAACCCACCTAGCGTGAAAAAGGGAAGCAGAGAAGCAAGCTTTATCAAGACTGAAGCCATAAAATGTATGGAAAAACAATCCAAGCCATGCATTTTAGTAAAGGAAACGATCCAAACATACACAATCAATATGAAATTCTGCGATGCTGACCCCTCTCATCATATCCAAACCAGACACCCCACAAATCAAATTCAAGAGAAACTGAAAAACCTCCCTATTGCAAAACCCAGCGGGTAACTCATGTGGAAAAAAACTACTGTTTTTTATAAAAATCCATATTCCATCTCTCAAACCCAATTTGAGATATGCACGTTCCCCATACACGAATGGAGTGTGCATGTGTACACACACACTATACATACTGATCTGTTGGTAAGATCCTTAAGAACAGAACTAGAGCACATCGGTGTTCCCCAATGTCTCCATATACCTTTGTCAGATTAATATATTCAAAAAACACGGGTTTGGTTTCTGTGGTTTTTTTGTGCTGGGATCCACATTTTAACATTGTGGTTCCCAAACTGTGGCCTTTCAAGTCACGGTCAGTAGAACAGTGATATACTACACATTATTTATGGTCAGTGGAGAGGATTTTAAAGTACAGGCTATTTATAAGTATTTTCAAGTTTGCAAACAGCTTTCTTATCAAAAAGGGAGGTTTGAAACTGTTGCATAGAACAAAACATTAGAAGAACTCAAGAACAAATAATTAATTCTCCAGGGCTTTAAGGAAAGTGAGGAGACTTGTTCTCTGAAACTGTAGTATTTGGATAAGCTTCTTTCAAATACAAAGAAAGATCTTAGTGTCCATTAAAACAAACAAATCCCCAAAAACAAAGAAAAGAAATCACCACCAAAATAAAGCCTACTCTGTTTCTCTCTTAGGTACAGAGGGAAAACATCAGAAATATCTTCCTAAAACAAATTTTCTGAGAGTTGGAAGATAACATTTATTCACTCTTTTTTGGTTTTTTTGGATAATCATTTGCCAGGTCTTTCCATTTTCTTTAGGAGCAGAAAAAAAGGTAACCACTCAAAGATCCAAATGCTGCAATACTCTTAATGTAACACATGGGAAACAAGCATCTTATACTGAAAGGAAAGTTTGAATGACAGTGCTTATCAATAACAGAGTTGGATAGATGGATATCAGTTAGTGCCACATGCTACATTTCTTCATTGTGAGGATGAACATACCTTTGGCACATTAATAAGATCGGGTTTTTGTACAGAAGCCACTCTGGAAGAGGAAAAACAAACATTATTGTAAACCCCAAATTCTTTAATGTTTAAGCATTTCCCTGTTCCACCTCACCACGTCCATCCACAGATATACAAAATATTTAATTTTATTTCCTCTAAAGGAACAATTCAAGTTAAACCTAGAATACTATTGTTCACACAAGGAAAAGGCAAAACAAAACTGAATTAATTTGTCCAGATACAACGTTAAGAACTCTGGCATTTATCATCAAGTACTATTTGATTTATAAATTCATAATTCTCTATCACCAGTTAGGAGACTTCAGCTCCAATTTGCTTGCTATTTTCTATCCTTTCACAAGAAACTGTCAACTCAAAAGCTCAGGTCAGATAAATTGCATTTTAAATAGTACATAACCTATATACAGGGTTAAAACAGAAAGTTTCCTTTTAGAACAAAAACAAAAACCCTTCTGAGGAACTTAGCAAGTTAAATAATACAGAAACTTTTTGCACCATCTTTGGTTTTCAAAAGTAAGGTTAATGTCACTTGAACTCTACAGTAGATGGCAAAAAAATTTTTCCCAAACAATGGCCACATTGAAACTACTATGGGGTGGTGGGAAGGAAAGGAAGTATCACAATGGAAATGATTAAGTAGATAAAGAGTTGATAGATTTTGTTACACCTGAAGTGAAACGGCAATGTGTTACAGGTAAAAGACATCTTACTTGATCGAGCTTTTTTCGGATTTGAGTATAATTGTATGCAAAAATACACATGCACACACTAAATTAAAAATATATATTAAAAATATGATACATTAATGTTTTGCTTGAAAACATTGCTGCTGATACACTTGAGTGTTTTCATGCTGTTCTGATAAAAAGTGGGTTCTCAACACATTTCAAAACATTTCTGGCCATATTTGGTGGCTGCTCAGAGAAGCAGTCACCCTTAATGATCCAAGAACCACCAATCGTATCCTGCCTGAAATCACACAACCCTGATTTACAATATGGCTTTTGAACAACTGAAAAACTGTAGCTGGATTCTGATTTCCAAAAGATAATTTGCTAGGGATGTAAAAAGGTTCATTTAATTGGACATCAGCTAACAGAGGCTACAATTTTAAAAATATTTCTATTGTATAAACCAGCTTTTCAATTTTTACCAGGAGAACATGGAGAGCTAGTATTAGGCACACTTGTTACCTTTAACCACTCCTTTTTTAATTTTCTGTTTTGTCCTCTTTATTTTTTTCCCCTTCTTTTTACTATTTTGTTCACAATATTTACTCCTTTCCTGAGAGTCATTTGGCCCTCAGCGCTCATCAGATTCCAGCAACAGGAATCCTGCTGCAGGTTCAGCAGTTAACTTACAAAAAGCAAAATACATATAATCCAGATGCTACGTTGACAGGGGGGAAAAAAAAAAGGAAAAAAATGCATAGCAGGAGAAGATCATCTTCTGCACTTTGGCTTCACCACTTGTGCATCGCTGCTGACACACATTATGTCCACATCAACAGCAATTCTCAACAGAGAGAGGGTTTTGTCCGCTCTGGGGAACAGGGCCATTCTCCCCTTTCCCACAGAGCGTGCAGCCTATGAAAAGCCTGACCTCCAGCCCTCCACAGCACTAGGGTGCATCATTAATCACTCCTAATTGCAGAGTTGTCAATTTGCAGCAACAAAAGCAACAAGGAGGAAAAAAAAAATACCAATACATATGGAAACTTTTCTTTTTTTTTTAAGACCAGAGTTAGAAGGAAACGTGCATCTGGCTTCATATCTTACATATACTTTTTTTTCCAATAAAGTAACTTGAAATGTTTTATGTATTAATTAAGCTGATCCAACAGGAAGATGTAGGAAGACATTTATTATTCAATCCAACTACCATATTTCACGCTTGAGAAAAAAAGCTTCTCTTTGCTAATGCTGGGCCTTGAGTTTCAGTCTTATAAAAGGAACATACTTAATTTTTTTTTGTTTTTACAAAATAATCAAATTTGAGTTTGCAATGGATGAGATTGCTCTGCATTCATCAGTACAGCACTGAGCAAAAATTATTTTAAACCGTTATTACCGGATGACCTGAAAACACACTTTTCAAAATTCATCTTCAAAAATGTCATACAAAAAGAAAAAGAAGGAAAGGGTGAAAAAAAGACTAGATAATCAAAATGTTCAAAATGTTCCTTTTAAACAGTGGAGGTAGACAACATAACGTTACTTTATTTCCCTCGCAAACATACTTGAAACAAGGACATGAATTTGTGTGCCCCAGACATACTTCAAGCAGTTTAACTTGGCCTTGTTGACTTCAGACTATAATCAGACTAAAATCTGTGATTTATCCTGTATTGTAAAGAGAAAATGCTCACCCAGCAAACTGAGCCACTAAGATCATAATGTGAAAAATGCACAGTGGTTAGACAAGACAGTACAAAAGGAAATGCACTCTTCAAGCTGAAAAGCAAAACACATCCAACACACACATTTAAGAAAATTCCTTCTTTGGGGCTATTTCCTTTAAGATTTTCATAGATACCACCAAATTGCATAGCCAAAACATAATTAAACTGCAGCATCTTTTACATTTTGTAGCTGTTAGCACTTAATTTGCCACCTAGCAATTAAACATACTAGGATTTCATGCTGATTTGGTCCCATTGAACGTATGAATAACTGATGATAAAGGTTTTCCGAATGAGATGACACACTTGCCCTGTTACTACCTACTAAAAAAAGCAGTATAGCTTGAAGCATGATATTTTCTGAATGATTTAAAACTAGCAGTTCAGCATACTAGTTTATGCAATACTTTCAATAACATACAAACAAAGCAAAGACATAAAAGCTCAGTATAAAGGCTTATTATAAACAACTCACACAAAAGACCTTGGCAAATGGTTACAGTATCAACCTTCATAGGAATTATTATAAACAATAAAACCAGAAGCAGCAGCCATCACTTACTAATATACTAATATTGAAAATAGAAGCGCACAAATTTTTTGCACAGGATTCTACATCAAAGTCATTTATTCTTTCTGTGGAGGGGGCGGAGGGGGCAAAGCTATATTTAGCTTGTGTAAACAGGTCATTTCAACCAAACATGATAAAATTTGCTGTCTAAACATACCACAAGCTGTTCCTCTCTGATGAATACTTTCATGACACTTAATGCAATTCAAAACATTCCAACTTCCAGCACAGCCTTATTAGGAAAATGAATTAGTCCACTCTTCACTGTAAGCAATATGCCCAGCAATAACTATTCATTCTTTAAATTCTCCTATTATTCATTCACTTTCCAAGTATTTCTCCCATTAAAAAAAAAAAAGACCCAAGCAATTTGACAGAACCCTTCTGTAATTACTAAAGCTAAAGCTACAGTTCTTCATGCTTCAGCAGGGAATACACCATCTGCAGAGACTGATCATCAATGAAAACTCTGTTATCTTCATAATTAGCATTATGGAAGCAAGCTCAATGCAAGGCAGGATTTTTTTTACAAATCTCAGCTGTCCTGTGTGTATAATCACACAACAGAGGCCCAAACCCTCATCCAGTAAATCCCTACATCTTCACTGAACCTAAAATCCAAAAGACATTTCAGAGTCGTCTCTTTCCTGAACTGCATTGAAAGCCCCATCATCCCCTGTCCTTCTGCTCCTAAGTCAAGGGACTATAATGTATTCAAAACTTAAAAGACTGATGCAAAAATCAATGGGAAATTCACAAGAAGGTAACTGTGCTTACATAAACTCCTCTGTAAACAAGGGGAGCACACAATACTGGTATTAACAGTGCGGTTTTCACATCTCTGTAACTTGAAGAATTGCCTAAACTCTGGTGTGAGATACAAGAAGCTGCAACACCTTCATTGAATTACAGAATCATCTCGGTTGGAAAAGATCTTAAAGATCAAGCCCAACCATAAACCTAACACTGTCAAGTCCACCAAATGAAGCCAAAGCAGAAAGAATTTTCCACAAAACTTTATTTGTTGTTCTGAACTGAACCTTTCTAACAGAAGGATGGAAAAAAGGAAGGATTCCCTTCCTATTCCCTGTCCTGTCCCTCTCATTTCAAAACTAACTCCTTTTTCTTAGCTGATCAATCATCAGAATGCAGGTTTTGGCAGCAGATGCTACACCCCTGAAAAGCCAATGGTCACATCTTCCTTCCAAAAACCTGATCTTTTAGTGGTTTTGCCATTGTAGTCTGCAGTTCTGTTGGTTAGCTTCATTTTATTTCTGGAGAACACTCAGTAGACAGGGCAGGAAGCTAAATAAATTTGCCTTTCATAAATTAGCCAACTCGTGGAATAAAGATGACAAGCAGAAGACATTTAACATATATAACAAGTCATGACTTTCACTAGGGGTTATCTGAATAATAATAAATGTAGACATAATTTAAAGCACAGAAAAAAGAATAATCAAAATATATGTATTTTTTTCCTTAAACACAAGCCCCTTCTTTACCACAGACATAATTAATTTTTTACCAACCTTGCTCTGACTCACAACAATAGAAAAACAAGAACATTGTTAAGCTTGCTTCTTGTTGCAATTTATACAGCATCCAAAATGGTTTCCTTACACACACTAATATAACATACAACTGCATTTCCCACAGTTTTGTAAAAAGACACACTGCCCCAGGCAACACCAGTCGGTAAATCAGCACTTCAGCAATCTTGCCAGGACATGCATCTGCAGCCTTGAGATTGCAAACCTGTCCACATCCCAACACATGGAAAAGCAGAGGTAGCAAAATTATCATTAAGTATGACTCAATGAAAATTGGAATCTGTTGCAGCCATTGCAAAAAAAGAGATGACTTTTTTTTCTGCCTAAAGAGATGCAACAATGTTTTCAAATCTCTAGTCTGTCATCATACTTACTAACATCTCAACAGATGGTTGTCAACATTTTATTTCATCAGTCATTCTCTTTTTTCTAGTTTATTATTTTAGTTTACTTTTTGTTGAACATACCAAATTATGTCAAATAATGTTAAT